TAAGGCAAAGTGATCAACAAATTAACATCACATCCAGCCACCCTGGGGCGCACTGACAGAGGCGAGGCTGCCGGACACCGGGCCCTCTGACCACCACCAGTAGGCAACGGGTGAAGTGTCTTGCCCAAGGACACAACGACCGAGACTGTTGTAGTTGGGGCTCGAACCAGCAACCTTCCGATTACAAGGCGAACTCCCAACTCTCGCCCCATGATGATAATACAAACTGATTTGTAAATAAGGGGACATGAATGACTTGAGCTTAGTATTTAATAATATACTACGGTATACTTGGAACTAACTCGGCAGCTCACTCTCCTGACAACACATCCTTTAAAGGTATTTGGGGTCAACATGAGAGACAGGCTAATGTGAAAGGTAAAAGTGAGGTCACAGGTCAAATGCAAACTATCATGTGATATCCCTATATGTCATTGTTGTCAATACAATCAGTGGCCATAGCATTAGTATCACTTTATCTATTGACCTTGAAGGGCAGGTCAGATGGGACATTTTTACCTTCTCTATATGGTGACAACACACAGCATGCCTGTAAGAATCCGTTTCTATGTTCAATCAATGTTGCCCCAGTAAATGGAGAAGTTGACGTTGAAGACCTTGTGGTAACATCAGGAATCCTAATAGACTATGGTTGTTTGTACCAGTGAGATGTGCTGAAGATGGTCTGCCAGGTGCTCAACTCCGTGTCGGACGGCACCGAGGGTTTTCACAAGCCGATCCAGTTGCTCTTCGGCTTCATCGCACCTCTGCTGCTCAGCCTGCAGCTGCTGCTCACGCTCCTGCAGCGTCTGCTGGTGGCTAAAAAAAGCACACAGAAAGAGCAGAGGCTTCAGAATAAGCATTAGACACTCGTGTGATCCTCTGAGTCCCAATCACACCAACAGAGAGTCCATGTGATTCACAAACACTGTGACAGCTGCTGCATGACAGAGTTAAATATGTGTCTGACCTGGAGAGTTTAGCCTCCCCAGAATATTTCATCTCTTCAGACTGTTGCTCCAGAAGCTCCTTCTGCTCCTTCAGCTGCAGCAGGACCT